ATTAGATAATTGCATTAATGAGAAATTGAACAGGTGTTCCTAATAATCCTTTAGGCGAGTGTATGTTTTACAAACGTGCCGGACAAGTCTTCTTCATTTCTGTACGTCTTTTATTTGATTTACTTGGCTCTCTGAACTTGACGAATCTGCTTCCATATGTTGAATTTACAAATTGAATGCAAGTTGTTGGTTAACTGGATTACTCCTTAAACCTTTCGGTTTTGCCAAATACAGCGTATGATTTGCAGGCAAAAACGGTTCAGTAACTGCCCAAAATATTTCGTCAATAATTGAGTAATTTAATTGCCACGATTACTTACTGTACCATACTTAGGGTTACCATACGCCCGGGCTTCCCCGGACACATCCTCTTTTTGGGCTCCTGTCCGGGCGCTTTTTCAGAAATCGGCGGTTTGTCCAGCGCTGCAAACCCGTATGACGCAATGTTGCAAGTTACAGTGCAGTACCAAGTGAAAGAAAGGGCACTAAGTATGGGCGTAATTTCCAGGGGGGTTATGACCCCCCCCCCCCAATAATCAGATCCAGCCAATATAACCCCCCAATGTTTCCCCTGTAATGAGTGGAGAACTCGACCCCCCCAAAGTTCCAGCCAAAGTTACGCCCTTGGCACTAAGTATCACTATACAGCGTCTGCAAGGCTCGTGCACACGTTTATTTTAAAAAATAAACAATATGCACATCCTGACGTGTCACGCTGTTCACGAGGGACGTCAACTTCCGGAAACCATTTCCACTTTTACACTGTTTTCGTGTAAACAGTAAATCGCGTTGCTTTTAGTTTAACGAACTTTAGCTTCGCGTTTTGTGGCTTCTGTTGAAAAAGACTTGCATAGCCGTATATTGTGTCAATCGTGTGTATATTGAAAAACGACAGTTAACTGTAAGGGTACCACACGCCTGGGTTTCCCTAACGCGAATCTCCAATTTACAGGGTGGATAGTGAAATATAAATATTCACTAGAGAAGTGCTACCTAATTGCCCAGTGAACTCGAAATATTATTAATGTTCAGGAGTTACGCGCTTCCTGATTGGTCGGTGAATTTGAAAACTTATTAATATTATGTTACCTGGCAACGTCCTCTTTTTCCGCCAGACCAAATATGGTAACCCTACCGTAAGATATCTTGCGTGAGCGTGAGTCTGTCACGCCAGATGCGTCAAAGTTGTCAACCCTGTTATTTGAACAATACGATCCGTACACATCTATGCTCTTCTTTACACAAACATACTCAGAGTGCATTCATTGTGCTCTCACAATGCACCTTTACAGTGTGAATTTAAATTATTTTAAAGATTTAAGGCATTTACATGCACAATGATTAATCAATGATTGTTATAATTATTACTGATGAGACTTCTAAGCATTTATGTAAGTCACTCTAGCTAAGGGCGTCTGCCAAATGCGGTAAATGTATTACATTTTACTATGTACAGTGTGTACATGAGATCTTACCTTTCGATTGTCGGTTGTAAATTGCATGCCTAAAAAACGACATAGAGGGGGACGCATCAAATGTCACTAGCTGACATAAGCCCGGCTGTCTTATACGTCGTGATGACTAACAGGATGGCATATATGCACTCTTAGGCTCCTATACAATGCATGAAAACTACCAAACTCATCCTAAACCAGCCACTATTATGTTCACGCACCCAAAGTAACTATGACCCGCAAAACCAAATTCAAAACCACCCGGCTTGGCAACATGAACCACTACTGCCATCTAATGGGTAATCAGTAAATTACTCTGCAGATCTGCCCGCCTATATTCAATCGGCTAAAATGACTGGCGCAGTTTTGTGACGTCAAACGTGGCGACGAAGTGAATCAAAAACTTGAAATGTATTTCTTGACATAGAAATATAGTAATATCATATATCAGGACTTGGTTTACTATATTGCTAACACTTAACTGTTAATCTGAGTCTAGGAAGAAATTCATATGCGTGTTTTTTTTGTTAATGATAGCTCGTTTCTTTGTATGAAGTGTCACACGAGTGCGTCGATTTCATAGTACCACCAGCTGCTTTTGTTTTTTATTTTTCACAACTGTAAAATAATCCAGGTCACAATGAGTTTAGCTTTCAGCAGAGAACCCCGCATGACAGCGGGGAATCGAATGTCGAAATTATTGGATGCCGAGGAAGAAGATGAATTTTACAAAACCACCTACGGTGGATTCAACGATGTGAGTATATTAAAACTTGTGCCCTTAAAAAGATTATGGGCCTAATTATCCAACGTATTTTATGCAAATGGGAACATTACACTTTAAGCATTCCGGTGTTGACGTTTTTGCTTCTTCTGAGATAGTTTAGCGAATTCACTAAACGGGTTTTCTGTGTTTTCGGTGGAAATAAAACTTTTTCCCCCCACTTTTATTAACCTCGTAGAATGATACTTAGAGATTCACATGACGGATATCGACGCAGAAACGTGTAATTTCTAAGGGTTTTATTAAACATGAATGTTTTTTTTCTGGCCAGGAATCTGGAGATGACGAGTACAAGGGCGATCAGTCCGACACGGAGGATGAGGTGGACAGTGATTTCGACATTGACGAGGGTGACGAGCCGGACAGCGACCAGGAGGATGACGAGCCCCGCAGGAAAAGGCGTGTTGTCACCAAGGCTTACAGGGTAAGGGGTCTGGCTGGTCCTCCGCCCAGCCTGACTTCACTTACCTTTGGGGGAGTCTATCTCTTCATATTACATTATGCTTACCCTGAGCTTTTTGCGATGCACGTTCATGCCTCTGTGAATACAGGAGCCCATGAACATAGTGAAGCCCAGACCCAAGAAGACATCAGAACTGCCCAGAAGGGTTGAGAAGGTCAAGGTGGACACACTTGTCCCACTGGATTCGCTTGAGGACATTGGCGAGAGTATGTCTCCTGCTCGGGTTTTGTTATGCATTGAATTTTAAGGCAGTTTAGGTGTTTCCTGAAATGCAAAGTGTCTAACACTCTGCTTTAGCTCCTCCCAGCTTTATACTGGGATTTGCAGTCAGGTGAACCAAGACCAGCACATTTGTAAATTAGTTTAAATTTCAGAGAGAGCCAGGATAACTGATAATGAGGTTCTCTTACAAAAGATAATGCAGGTACTCCTGTTTGGACCGCCTGGACTTACGACCAACTCCCTGACCAGTCAGTATGTAGGAGAACTTTGGTAATGGAAACGGCAGCTTGGCATGTCAGCCTCAAGCATCTCATCTTGCATCATTTATAAATATACAAAATGATATAAATGGTGCAAAGGTGATATTAAAACAATATCTAAAGATGGTTAACACAAACCCACTACCAATGCAGTATGCTTGAAATATTAGTAAGGGGCGGCTCCTCGATTATCGACCGATTCGCTTAACGACGTAGCCTTAGGAACGAACTTGTCCATGTCGGTAAAATATAAAATAAAACAAAATCAAAAGGTGTCCTGTGCTGGTTTGGTTCTCTGTTTTATAACAATATTAATCAAAATGTTATTTATAGTTCTTATAACCTGCCCGGGCACATAACGATGGGGCTGGTTTTCCCAGATCGGAAGTCTGTCCGCCAGTCGACCACGGAGCACACCCGGATGACGTATCTGCGGCTGCAGGAGAGACAGGTGGCCCCTCGCCGTCGCAAGGGGGCCCATCACGACCGGCCGCTCACGCAGGAGGAGCTGCTAGCTGAGGCCAAGGTCACCGCCGAGATTAACCTCCGATCTCTAGGTGAGGAAGGGTGGGTATGTGGGGGTGGCCAGTGAGTTAAGTGGAGGGGTGTGGTTTTGCCTTGCATCCCCGCCCCAATTCACTACGTATAGGAAGCCTTACCGCCTCCCATGCTAGGTAGCTGCTGTCGTCCTGATCGATGTCCTGATCGATGCTGTCTCCCGGGTTCACTCAGAGAACTACGAGCGCCTGGTGGCGGACAAGAAGAAGCAGGTGCACAAACGGCGGCCGTTTGAGGGCCCCACCATCCGCTACCACTCAGTGCTCATGCCCCTGGTGTCAGACGCCAGCCTGAAGGAGGAAAACGTGGACGTGGAAGGGTAAGACCACGTGGCACGTCATACAGCATACCTCAGTGTTTTTCAACCCAGTCCACGGGGACCCCTGTACAGTCCACATTTTTGCTACCTCCCTGCTCCTAGCCAATCAAGAATGCTGAATTCCTGGAACTGGTACTGGCTTACAACTTGGTCCTCGGGGACCTGCAGACGGTCCACGTTTTTGCTGGGAGGGGACCAAAACGCAGACTGTCTGTGGTTCCTCAAAGAGTGGATTGGGAAGCACTGGGTTACAGGATTAGTTTGGCTGTTTTTCTGAGATCTTTTACCCCGTCTCTCTATTAAAAGGGGGTGAAAATTTGTGATCAAAGGGATTCTTTTGTCCTTTTTTTCCCCAAATCTTTGCTACCAAGTGCAAATGGTGAAATTCATTTTAAAATTTGTGTTGCATTTGATTAATATTATTAAGGGTGTTTCTTAATCTCTGTTTCAGAAGGAATCCTATGTAGTCTGCTCTTCATAGTGAGACGTGTCTGTAAAATGTTTCCGTTTTCTATACTTAGGTTGGACCAAGACACCCCCCAGCCCCCGGCTGCTTTGACTCAGACTCCTTGTGAAGGGACAGTTTCAACCTCCCAGCAGCCACCAGGGGGCCAGTGCGCACGCACCTTCATCACCTTCAGCGATGACGAGGCCTTCGAGTCGGTGTTCCCGAGGTCGCGGGGGCCCCGTCCTCCAGTACGAGAGATCTGCCCCGTCACCCACAAGCCCGCGCTCTACCGGGACCCCATCACCGACATCCCCTACGCCAACACCCGCGCCTTCAAGATCATCCGCGAGGCCTACAAGAAATATGTGGCGGCTCACGGCCTGCCGAATACCTCGGGGGGCTTTTCGGGGGATTCAGCGTCCCGGGGCGCCCGGCAGAAGATAGTCATCAAGCAGACCATGTCGGCCACATAAGCCAGACCTCGGGCTACACTCCTTATACCTCAGGACTCACGGTTTTACTTTTCCTGGCTGTTTGGAAACAGGTCTTTTGTTGTCTAGCCAATAAGAACAGACATTTAAATGAAGTGGCTTGCGATTGGTGTAATGTCATTAGCCACAATGGGGCGGCGTTTCACTCCTGGTTCACTCTGATACCTTCAGAGTAAGGCCCTCTCAGTTGTTTTTTTTTCCCTCGTTCATTTTTTCCTGTCCCCGAAGATGCGGGTTGATGCATGTCAGCCTGTTTTTCGATGCTTTTGCAAAGTTTTTGTTCTAGTTTCTTTGCTACATTAATTTTTTTATCTGGTTTCTGTGATTAAGAATTGTGCTTTAAGATGTAATGAAAGTTTGCTGCAATGAAAGGCTAAGATTTTGTAACCTGACCTGACTATTAAATAGTTGATAAAATAAAAATGGCTTTTAAATTAGTTTTTGTATCGGTTTCAAACATACTGAATGATGCAGTGACACATCTGACAGTCACGCACAGCGAACCAGTACAAAGGTTTACATGCACAGCGAAGTCGAGGTGCGGTTATAGCTCGACTACGCCATTTAATTCCACTACTGTCCTTGTCCCAGTATACATGTACATGGGAATCGATTTACTGACCGAAGTATGTCCGACTCTGCTACAATAGGTGGCAATATGGCTCCGTTCAGCTTGATATTGGGCTTTTTCGCGTGTGCAGAGTGCCTAGGCCAGTCCGACTCAGTGGATACAACAGGAATAAATCGACTTCCAAATGCATTATCTGTGTGTCTTAGTCTGAGACTAACACAATAATTCGATGTTCTTAGCGTAAATGTACCGAAAGATTTAAGGTAAAAGGTCATTATCATCCTATCAAAACACAGGCCTCTAAGTGTGACCTGCAAAGCAACAAGGGAGTTGCTGTCTTGTACTGAGACTCCATTTTCATAATAATTTTTTTTACTGGCAGTTAATACATGAAGACCTCAGTTGGACTAGGTGCCAGCATTCAGCTGAGGTCTTAAGGAACATGGCTAATAAAACCCTTTAAATCAAGGAAGTTGAACAGTGGGTTGGATGACAGTAGCCAAAAAAATACCCAGTGCTACCAGTAGATGGCACTGTACCCCTGGCACTTTTCATTTGTTGTCTAGAGTTACTGATAAGCACATGGACACCGGCCCGCACCCATCAGCGTGTGCCCCCCCCCACCCCCGTCTCTCTCTCCTCAGCCTCTCCAAGAGCCAAAATAATAAACTGCTGACCTCACAAAGTGCTCCCAGTAGTTCTGCCTCAGCAGAGCCCCCAACAGTGAGGGGGAGGGAGGATAGAACGGGAAAACTAGGTGGTAGTGGTAGTGCTGGGGGGGGGGGTGGTTGGTGGAGAAGAAGGAGAAAAGAAATCGACAGTCACACAGCCAGAGTCGCAGGCCTGCAGCAGCTGTCACCGTGCGAAGGGACAGTGCTCGTACAGTGTGTGAAGGGACACTGCTCGTACAGTGTGTGAAGGTAGGTTCAGTGACTTCATTTTGGTGGGCTTTGCTTTGTGCACAACGGTCGGGGCAGCACTGTATGAGCCTCTTAGGAGCATGATTCCCCTTGGCTACGGCTGTGGTGACATAATGCGACTCCCAGCCTCTGTTTAATGGGGGTAGGAGTCCCTCTTGGGGTCACTGCCACGCATTTGCATCTGCAACCACAAGGTACGACTGAGTGTTCGTCTCTGGTGACGTCTGTGGCTCTGCACGAGTGACGGTACGGTGACACTGGCCATAGGCTGCTCCGAGTGTCCCCATGCCGCTACCCATGCTGTAGTTGATGTTGAGTAGTTTGTCCGTAATTTTTGTGCCGCGATCCTCATCATTCGACTTGGTAGTGGTAGCATCTGCAGAATGACTTAGAGCTATCCTGGCTGCCTGACGTATCTGTGATACCTGATATTTCTATATTTGTGTGACCTGGGCCTTCTTGCGTGGCCTTCACCCAAAGGCTACCCGCTGGCTATCGATTCCGGCTCCGTGCTCTTGCTGTCTGACTGGCTGCACCTCTTGTTGGCTTCAGCTAGCGCCAGCTCCATATCTCCTTTCTCTGTTCTTGTGCATTAGAGAGTCTGAGCTTCCTGGGGACATTAATATGACTGTTTCCAGACTGCGTTGCACTAGCGTGCATTACAGGGAGAGTCATTTCCAGGCTGGGAAGCTTAGAGTCCAACTGAAGTGACTGTGGGAGTTGAATCCGGGCTTCAAATTTTGCACCACAGACTAAAATTACTCTAGAGTTGATCTGGTATTTGCACTCAGGCAGGAAGATTCAAAATAGATCTACTCTAAGTAGTGTGAAATAATTTAATTTAATTTCAAGCATGGATGTGACATTGTCACTGTAGGAGTGCCCTGTGTATCGTGTGTGTGCAGCTACAATACACATTCCAGTGCTGTGCATTTAAGTGCAAATTTGCTGCCTCTAGAATAAACAAACTCTTTCATCTAGTGTAAAAGTGCTTGCCTGCCTTGCCTGGATGATCTGGTTTTTATGGTTGAATTTGGGGGGGATGCAGCAGGCTTACAATGCAACACATTCCAGCTGGTTCCAGCACTCAGAGCCGGAGGCGTCCATTGTATTCCAAGTCCCCCTTTTGTTCGGGCTGCCATTTGTTCTGCAGTGACAGCTGTTGTTACAGATGGTGATTCTGTCAACAGCGAAGCCATCACTGTTGAAATGTCATTGGCTCAGGACCCTCAAGGTGGAACTCACAGGATACTTCCAAAGCAATTAATTAAATGCAAAATTGGAAGAGCTTATTTGTTGACAGATTTCAGTATAGCTGGATATTTTTTGCCCGCGGTTCAGTCAGAAAGTGCTTTACCACTATTGGCCAATGAGCCACCGATTAATGAATGGACCAAGATTTTGAGCATGTAGGGTAAAGCATTGCAATTTTGGACATTTTACTGATCTATGGGCCCTTAGCTCCTGGATTAATATATTTTCTTCACCCTGTAGAGCAGAGTTTCCCAACTTGGGCCTCGGGGACCCACAGACAGTCCACATTTTTGCTCCCTCCTAGAGCCCAGGAGGGAGCAAAAACTTGGACTGAAAAGCTAAGCTCCCAGCCTTTGCACAGTATTTGAATTTTTATATGGCAAAAGGTGATATCTGTCATGCATTCTTAGCCTATAATTATATTTGCTGATTAAAATTTGAAGTAATCGCCAAGAATAGTATTAGCTTCAAAAACTAATGTAAAAAACACCTGTTTTGCTTTCAGTCTGTTTCTTTAACCCCTTGTATTCTCCGTACTTGTTTCATTCTACAATGCATGACCTTATATTTGGTGTGCCCAAAAGAGAAGCTGTATATTTCAGACACTCAATACAAATGAAATTTTGTGTGCTGGCTGTGCAGCCTTCATGCAGATCTAGGAGCCAAATGCCTCCGGTTTCGCTATCCCAGGAAGGAAGAGGCGGAGTCAGAGGTCTGATGCGCTAGTTCCCCATTCTAGGAGACATTTATACACCCTGTGTTTAGCCAGGGTATGGCAGCAATACTCACTGAGAGTGATGCTACTGCTAAATTGCCTGGAAATAGCTTCCCTCGGCCAGCTGGCTGTGACAGGTGACTGACGCTGTCTGATTTCTTCACACCCTGTCGCCTTGTGGGTTCGCCGTGGCCTCCAAAGGTTGCCCCGTGGGACTGTGGGAACAGGTGCACATGGGGGGTGAAGGGGGGTGATATCTGCGCTGCTGGGGAACATCACACCGAATCAGGGTGAATAGCAAAAAGCTGACAGTGATTTGGGAGACTGCATGATCTCAATGCTCTCGGCCCATATTTGGACAAAACACCATCTGATATTTGAAACATCTTGGAGCTGTTCACTGTTTTCTTTTGACTTTGTTTGGGTTATTATTAATGCTCAAACTGCAGGGGTTGATTTAAGGGCTGGGCAGGAACATAAATGAATAAAGAATGATAATGAAGAGAGGATGTTCCTTACAGCTGCCATCTTATCCAGGGTGTCTTCTGCCATGTTCCTTTGCATAGGATCCAGACTTGCACTGTCCACTGGAAAATGGATGGATGGAGGGATAGATGTATGTATGGATGGAGGGATGGATGTATGGATGGATGGATGGAGGGATGGATGTATGGATATTCTCCATGCATCCACCAAATCCAATCGTTGCTGGTTATATGCAATTGTTCTTTTTAACTAGTGGGCAACTAAAAATGTAATGAAGATAAAAACTTCACAAATGACCTGTAGAGTTCCTCATGTTCTTCAATATCACGAAATTGTTCTTACCTGGTTAGAGAAGTTGAGAACAGCTACCAGAGCAGGTGCATACAGTTCAGTCTGGTAATATACATAGATGTGAAACTCAGATGTGAAATTCTATACCTGAAAGGAGCTCAGGTCAGGTGGTGGCCCAACCACTGGGCAGGATCTGCAGAGCTCCTGCTCTGTTTGCGTTCTCTGCTTCCGTCATTGGCTTCAGTGGGATTTACACATTAGAGATGTTTGGTGCCCATCCACGTCCGCCACCAATGTTGGCATCCGATTGGTCTGCCCGTCAACACCTACCTGGCACCATGCAGTGTCCTGGTCTGATTAGCCCTGGGTGGCTCCACGGCCACCAAATAAGCTTCACGTTAAACCATCACAAAGTAATTTACCAGCAATGATTCTCCGGAATGGTTTTCTGTAGCTCATAAATGTTTAGGTGGAATATGGCAGTTTCAGGCTGTACTGTGTCGCCCTGAATCACACAGCCTGTGCGGTGTAATTAAAATAGGTTTCCCTCCCTGGTCGTTCATCTAAAGTTTCACATTGTCTACATGGGCGCCCTTTGTAGGACCTGCTCTATCCTCTCTATCTGTGCCACCATCCCAGTGCGTCTCTGGGTGTGCCAGTGCTCTGCATGCAGGCTGATAAGTAAAGGAGCAACTGTAAACCACCCTGTCAACTGTGGGTGGCACCGAGACCAGTGGAAAACCCTTTCATTTAAATCTCTTTACCCGTGTCTTACTCTCCTTTATCGTAAAACCAGGTGAACGAGGAAAGCTGTTTTAGAACAACAAACAACAACAACAATAATAATAACAATAATAATAATAATAAAAATAATTGTTATTACTATTTAAAAATGAAGGAAAATCAGGTTTATTTCTATTCAGTCATCTAGCCATAGGGTCATTATATCAGTGTAAATTATTATTTGATTATTCAATTGGTTATTTATCAGATAAAAATGAACATGTTGATATATTGTATATGTGAAATAGGTTATTTATATTTATTTAAGTAATTGTTTAACTAGTCCTGTGGCTTGTACTACGAAGCGGGGTTACTGACTTGTCGGATTTAAGGTACCACAGTTTAATAATATTCCTTCACTTACATTTTGCCCAGACTACCTTAAATCCGACAAGTTACCCCGATTAGCCCCTAACC